GGGAGCTTTAATGATATCCCATGAGTGATTTCTTGATTAATGCTGTGGGGATGAGTCTGACAAGGTTAACCATTGAGGTATAAATCCTCCCACTTTGAGCAGCTTGGAGGAAGATAAGAAAATACTATTCCTCAAAGGTAAGTCTTCTAGTTATGAAAAATCAATAACTCATATAAATATTTCCTGAATCCTTATTATGGTCTCTTGCACATAAAATGGAATTAGAGGCAGGCTTTTGGTACAGCAGTTAAGATGCAGGTTGGGATGACTGCTTCCCATATCCAAATACCAGAGTTTCAGTCCCAGCTCCACTTCAGATTCCAGCTTCCTGCAATGTACACTTTGGGATGAAGAAGGTGATAGATAGCTAAAGCAGATGGGTCTCTGTCACCTATGCGAGAAACCCAGACTGAGTTCCCGACTCCTGGCTTCAGTATGGCCCAGCATTTAGGAAATGAATGAGAAGATGAAACCTCTCTCTCTCTCTCTCTCTCTCTCTCTCTCTCTCTCTCTCTTCTCTCTGCCTTCAAGTAAAATGAGAATAATTTTTAAACTGAATTAATAGCAAAAATATAGAATTACCACAGTATAGCAAAACCATAGGCAGACATGTCTGGTTCTCTCTGACAAACAGCAGGTTACTGGTGCTGCTTCAGGTCATTCAGGCCCTGCAGCCATCCCTGGCCTTAGTTACATTTCCCATTGTTCATGACACAACTGAGATTTAGAATAGACTTTAGCCAATTGTTAGAATAAAACAACTCATATGTTAACCATTTTGTCTTTTCCAAGCCTAAAGCCTTAGATTTTGACATAAGAAAATATATTACTATTTCATATTTCTTTGATGATACTATGTAATCATTATTAACAGAAAAAATGTAAGAGATTTAGGTAAAAATGAATGTAAGTTTAAAATTTAAACACCTAAGAATAATTGTGTGTTAATCACAGAATTCAACCAATAGTACTAGAACAAAACAAAGAGAAAATACTAAAATGGATAAAGTATTACATTGTACATCAACAGTCAGGACAAGGGCTGATCAAGTCACTGTTTCTCATAGTGTCCATTTCACTTCAACAGGTTTCCCTTTTGGTGCTCATAATGAGAAGGAAAAAAAAAAGCTCTGAACACCTTTCCTTTCTCATTTGTGGGGTCTTTCTCATGTTAAGGGTTTCTCCAATTCAGATTTTCATTGAAATATGAAGACACAGCTAGACCCAGCATCATCAAAACACATTGACATTGTTTTGTTTACAAAAATAGACTTTACTATATTTCTGTCTCTTCCCACCACCGTCACAGATTTTACTAGCCTTTCAGTCTAATCCTCCAATTGGCCAAACTTCTAAGAAAACATTCTGTAGGGCTTGAAGTTTGTGTTTTCACCTCTGCATTATATGGAGAGTTTTAATTTTTCCCCATCCCTAAGCATAATTGGGGTTATTTTCAATCATTCAATGATTTAAACTGGGATGCTTTTACTGATTTAATTATATTCTATCAGATTGCCCTTATTTCCGCCATTTTCTTGTATCTTCCTCTTGAAATGAGACTCACAGACTAGAGAAGAGGGTCTTATAACAACACAGGATGGGTCCACCCGGTGGAGGGCAGTGGTATTGCCGGTTATGGGATGTAATGAGCTACTGAAGAAGTATTGGTCATCCTTTATCACAAACCATCTGTGCTGGTGTTTTAATAACAGAACACATTAGTGGACAGGGCAACCTAGATTACTCATCCCCCACATCCCATTTCAGACACTAGCCTGAAACAAAGCTATGTCAAGTTCTGTATTCACAACCCCTGTTCTTTCGTGTGTGCCCAGGAACTCAAACCTCAGACTACACACAATAAACAACGGAATGGTGCAGCCCTTGACAGAGAAGTTTCTTCCCTTGCCCCTCTGAATACAAGAACACTGGGAACAGGCTTATGGAGGCTCTCAGAAATATTCCAGCTTTTCAAGTTTTCTATCATCCACAGAACAGCGTAAGGGTCAATGTCAGAGGCCTCACTTTTTGTTTTGTTTCTACTTCTGAGCTGACGGAGAGAAATTTATGTGCTCTGATGGTGGCTAATTCTGTACTTGAGGACAGATTGTGACAATATCTTACAATCTATTATAAAGCAAAAATGCAAGCTATCAGAAGGTAAATCACTTGAAATTTGTGAAAAAAATTATTTCAATGTTACTTCAGTTGCCAGTTCCATATTTTAACCCTTGGTGTGTTTTACAGTCACATGAAAACCTGTTAAGAATATCCTATAAATGAAGGTACACTTCCCAGGTTGGGCTGGAACTCAGGTGCCAGTGTTAAAAACTCCACATACATTCCAATGTGGAAGCCAAGGTTGACAACTACTTGTACAAATGTTATATTTGTGAATATGGGACTTTAATAAAGCAACAAAGTTATTCTTTAAATTATGGGAATTTCTATGTCCTCCTGGACTACTGAACAAATTTGCTGCAGTGGTAAAAGTAGCTCATTTTTGGAACAGAGGAGCTCATGTTTTATTATATCACTTGTTTTTACTGACACATAATAATTGTACATATTTATGAGGTACAAGATAATATTTTGATGCATGCACATTTATTAATGAGCAAATCAGGATAATTAACATCCATCACTTCACAACTATCTAATTTTCAATTCTTCAACTTCTACATTTTGACCATCAGCTACTAAGTTTTAGATCAAGCACAATGATCAATAACTCTTTAAACAAACCCTTAGTTGATTTCCCTACCTATAATTGTACTCCTTCATATATATTTCTCACACAGTATCCAGAGGTGTTTGTAGTAACTGAGATTCTATTGTTAATACAGAGAGATGAGACATCTGCATACTATACAAAATCTGGTGAGGTGAGTTGTCATTTAATGCATCGATGAATCAGTTATTTAATTAATGGTTATTGCATGTATACCAAATCAAGTATTGGTCCATGTTCTCAGGATATAACGCTTAGTTCCTACCCTCAGGTGGCAAACAACCTAATGGAGAAGATAGACGACCAACACATTAATAAATAACTTTTCCTTGGATGATGAAAACAAATTATTTTTAATACATTAACAGTTATTTGGAAGGAGTCCAATTTAGACAAGTGGAAATGGTTTTCAGAGCAGGTGTTATTAGAAGACAGACTTGAGTGATGTGATCAAAACAGTCACCCAGGGACCAGCGCTGTGGCATGGTAGGCTAATCCTCCACCTGAGGTGCCAGCATCCCATATGAGCACAGGTTCTAGTCCCAGATGCTCCACTTCCGATCCAGCTCTCTGCTATGGCCTGGGAAAGCAGTAGAAAATGACCCAAGTCCTTGGGCCCCTGCACCCAGGTGGGAGACAAGGAAGAAACCCCTGGCTCCTGGCTTTAGATTGGCTCAGCTCCAGCTGTTGTGGCCATTTTGGGAGTGAACCAGCAGATGCCAGACCTTTCTTTCTGTCTCACTCATTGTAATTCTCTCTCTCAAATAAATAAATAAAATCTTAAAAAAAAATCACCCAATGATCTGGGGAAAGAATATTTTTGGCAGAGGGAGCACCAGTGAAAAGTCCCTGAGGTGGGAATGTGCCCATCATGTGCAGGGAGCAGCTAGGTCAACAAAGCAGAAGAGGAAGTGAAGAGACAGTGATAGGAGAGAAATTTGGAGATGTGGTTGGGAAGAAATCATACGGTTTCTTTGGTAAAACACTTAGATTTTTGTCCAAGTGTAATGGACAATCTTGGATCAATTTATGAAGTCATTTACACAAGGTATTTGGTTTATGAAAAATCACAAGCTGGTATTATTAGAAAATAGAAGGGTTTATATACGGAAGAATACAACCAATGCAATATTGTAGGCAAGTAATGATTTTGTCTTAGATCTGACTGGTGGCAGAGGAAATGCTAGCAAGATTCAATATGAAATACTGGGAAAGTAGAACTGAGAGCTTTTCCTGGTGGTTCTGATATAGTCAATGGTGTGATATCAACTGAAATAGAAATACGGAACATGAAAGCAGCAGGAATTGTGAGTCAAAAGGAGACTTGTGAGATAAAAGTGGACGTTAAGTGAAGAATCAGCCCACATTATTACTTGTTATTTTACAACAAAGGAATTGGAATGAACAGAATACCAAGGAACGAGGAGATATTAAGTGTTGTTGGACAGTAAAAAATGAGGCAGAAATTGAACCTGAATGTTTGTACAGTAGACTCTCAAGAAATAGTGGTCCCCCAATTTGCAGAAAGTTTGCCTTTACTGGCAAGGATAGAACAAGTCTTTAGAGATTAGCCTCATTCCCTGATCAGACTACGGTGGATCTGGGATACTGGTTCCATAACCTACCAAGAGACATCAGCACACTACTCCAAACTCCCAGTGTGTTAGCACGGTTAAGGTGGAAGTTGCAGAGCAGAAAGTAGAGTATGGCACATGAAAATCACAATCTCTTGCATTGCCTGCTCCAATCAGCAACACAAGACACTTGAAGGTGTCTACTGAAGTGTTTCCATCTCTGAGGAAATAACCTTTGTAATCATCTCTTAAAAAATATTTTATTTATTTATTTGAGAGGTAGAGTTATAGACAGTGAGAGAGAGAGAGAGACAGAAACGTCTTCCTTCCGTTGGTTCACTCCCCAAATGGTCGCAACACACAGAGCTGTGCCTATCCAAAGCCAGGAACCAGGAGCTTCTTCTAGGTCTCCCACATGGGTGCAGCGGCCCAAGGACTTGGGCCATCTTCTACTGCTTTCCCAGGCCGCAGCAGAGAGCTGGATTAGAAGAGGAGCTGCCAAGACTAGAACTGTTGCCCAAATGGGATGCCAGCACTGAGGGCAGAGGATTAACCTACTGTTGCCACAGTGCTGGCCCAATCATCTCTTTTCAAAACATTTGCTTTAGTCCTCATTGATTTTGGCTGTTCTTAGATTACATGTGATTTATTTCTCTTTTTATATGTGACACATTCTCCTTTGCTTGTTAGGGAACATGAAGATGAAAATAGTTCCCAGACAGAATGGCACTGAGGCAACAGAGTTCATTCTGCTGGGACTGACCAGCAGGCCTGAGCTGCAGCCCATCCTTTTTGTGGTGTTTCTGCTGATTTATCTCATCACCCTGACTGGGAACTTGGGGATGATTACTCTAATCAGAGTCACTCCCCGGCTGCAAACCCCCATGTATTTTTTCCTCACCCATTTAGCATGTGTGGACATATTCTATTCCACCAATGTTTCTCCTCAAATGCTTGTCAACTTCTTATCTAAGAAGAAGACCATTTCCTACACTGGGTGTCTGGCCCAGTGTTTTGTTTTCGTGACTCTACTCCTTACTGAGTATTACATGCTTGGCGCCATGGCCTATGACAGGTACATGGCCATTTGCAATCCCCTACATTATTCCAGCAAAATGTCCAAGCCGGTTTGCATCTGTCTGGTCACTGTCCCCTACCTGTGGGGATCTACAGTGGCCACAATGCAGGTAATATTGACGTCTCGTTTGTCGTTTTGTGGACCCAGCACCATCAACCATTTCTACTGCGCTGATCCACCCCTGTTAATGCTGACATATTCTGACACATACATAAAGCAAACTGCACTGTTTGTGTCAGCAGGAATTAACCTCACAGGTTCACTGCTCATCATCCTCATCTCCTACGTGTTGATTTTCATCACCATTCTGAGGATCCGTTCCAGTGAAGGACAGCGCAAAGCCTTCTCCACCTGTGGTTCCCACCTGACAGCTGTCACTATGTTCTATGGGTCCCTGTTCTGTATGTATCTGAGACCAGCAAATGAGCGATCTGTCGAGCAAGGGAAAATCGTGGCAGTGTTTTGTATTTTTGTGAGTCCCATGCTGAATCCATTTATCTACAGCCTGAGGAACAAGGATGTGAAACAGGCTATGAGAAGAGTGTTTTCGGGAAGGTTTGGTAGAATGAAAAGTTCAATATTTACAGTTTCCCAATAAAAAATAAATAAAAATCTGTCCCTCATTCATTGTTCCTGAATGCAATTCTCTGGAATAACAGTATTATATTTTTGCTTTTGCTTATGCACAGTTTGGGACTCAGTGAGAGTCAGGTGGAAACAATGAATACAAAGGCTCAGACAGGCTGATTATCAGGACAGGACAGCAGATGTCAGCTGTTTAAGATTAGGCAGGGCCATGCATTGTTGGTTTTCTCACGACCTCATTTCTACTTGATTACTTGGCAGATATCTCCTTCCTTTCACTTCCCAGCTTCTCAAAATTCAGTGTCTTAGAGTTACTTTATCAGAAAAGTGAATTGAGTCATACCACATCTTCCTTAATGATTCATATTCATGTAGCATATTTCAAAATTCTCTTTGGTGAGAGACATTGTCTCAGAAGAAACTCATATACCTAATATAAGATGCTTTCTTCCTAAATGTTTGCTGAATTCTTATGTTGACTCATCTTGACTTTCAAATAGTATTTCTTCTATTATATTTCAACAAAGAACATAATAATTTGCATATTTTTGTGACTGTGACTTCTGTCATTTTCCCATTAATCAAACGCATTGATTCTTAATAGATATTGATTTATATCATTTGTCTCTGATAGTATTATTAATAACTGTTAAATATCAAGTTTCCATTTATTTGCCACCTTTTGTCTATCCACAGACTATTTCACATAACAGCTACAGTAATATGAATGAAAATTTGGTTTCAGTGTTTTACAACTAAATTACAACATACATTTAGTCCAGATTATCTTTGAAATTAACTTTTTATTAAGTGCATAACCTAACATTGATAAAAACTTATTTTAGAGACCATATAACAATCCAGTGCAAAAATGTGTCACTGGATATTCATCCCTCCTTGGTGCTCTCAGGCACCACATCCTTGCAGTTCTGGTCCGTTGCAGTACCTCGGTTCTATCAGGTAGATGCTTGTGCCTTATTGGTTACCAAAGGCAACCAATCTCACTCTTGCTGTTCTGTGGTTCCTGGAATCATAAGAAGCAAGAACACAATTCCAGGATGAATAGATTTCACTTAACACTATTCCATGCAAGGTGAGTTCCACATCAGTGCAATGAAATGAGACAAAATACAGTTTGACCACGATAGACAAGGCGTCTCTAATTTGGATAGATCCACACATAATGAATTATGCTTTAAGAAATCAGTCAAGAAGATGAAGTTGTGTGGGTGCAAACTGTTGAAATCTTTACTTAGTATATACTAAATTGATCTTTTGTATATAAAGATAATTGAAAATGAATCTTGATATAAATGGAATGGGAGAGGGAGTGAGAGATGGGATGGTTGAGGGTGGTAGGGAAGTTATGGGGGGGGGAATGCCATTGTAATCTAAAAGCTGTATTTGGAAATTTTTATTTATTAAATAAAAGTTAAAAAATCAAAATATGTATTTGTATCACTCCATGAAATTCGAGATGAGCTTTTGGCATGTTTTCTTTTTTTCAAATGGAATTGGAAAAGGTTTCTCTATCATAACTTTTATGTTATTGTAACTCCTTACATAAAAAATTAATAAAAAATTAAAACTAAGATTTACAACTTCAGTATTTCTATATAATACAAGGTTTTATAGCAATATAAAATGAGCATGCTGATTCTCTGACATTTAATATGAGCCACTCCTTTTTTAGAGAGTAGAATGGCAGATTTCAGTCAGAATAAAATTTTCCTAAAATATTTATTTACTGATATAGGTTAATAAAAAGAATTTAATAAATCATTAAATTTACAAAATTACTTTCTTAAGAATAAATAAGATTGATTCAATGTAAGAAAAAAACGGGGGCCGGCCCTGCAGCTCTCTAGGCTAATCCTCCATCTGCAGTGCCGGCACCCCGGGTTCTAGTCCCATCTTGGGCGCCAGATTCTGTCCCGGTTGTTCCTCTTCCAGTCCAGCTCTCTGCTGTGGCCTGGAATTGCAGTGGAGGATGGCCCAAGTGCTTGGGTCCTGCACCCACATGGGAGACCAGGAGGAAGCAACTGGGGCCTGGCTTCAGATCGGCACAGTGCTGGCCGTAGCGGCCATTTGGGGGGTGAACAAATGGAAGGAAGACCTTTCTGTCTCTCTCTCTCTCTCTCACTGTCTAACTCTGCCTGTCAAGAAAAAGGGGATACAAAAATTTAGTAATTAGCTATTTCATGACTGGAAAGGACAGTACATCCATAGATATTTCATAGTTAGCAATGAGTGATCAGAAGTCTACTCTCAGATGGCTTGTTAATTCATTAACGTGGTAATAAATGATGTTAGAGGATACTGACTTTGCCTAGATGTATTAACCTAACTCAGAAAGTTTTTTGTAGTTTTATCTTATTTTTCTGAGACCGTCTTCAGAAAGCTCTGGTTAAATTAAAATTGAAGACATTAATTGCTGACTCACGTCTGTGGGGAGCAACTCGGACTAGACTAAGTTACTGGAATTAAGACTTATTCTATGCATCTGCTCTCCCACAATATGGCGCTGGGAGAGGAGAAAACAGCTTCTACACAGCTGCCTCCAGTTCAACCAATAGACAGCAGGACCTGCTCCTGATTGGAGGAGAGCAGCGTACTCGGCGTGTGGGTAGCAGAGTTGGGATTGGTGGAAGAGGACTATAAAGGAGGAGAGAGACAACATGCACCAGGAACATCTAACGGGAACACCTGAGGAACACCTGTGCAGCCCCCGAGAGAGCCGGTCGGCGGTGTGCCGCTCCCCCGCGGAAGTGGGGAAAGTGGCCAGGGGGAACCGCCCTTCCACGGAGGTGGAAGGGATGGTAGCCAACCCGGGAAGAACCAGCAGCAAACCCGGGGAGGGCCGAGCAGACAAGAGAACAGCGCAGGGTCCTGTGTCGTTCCTCCACGAAGAGGGGGAGCGACAACGTCACTTTGTTTCAATTGCAATATCAATTGACAGTCTCCACTAGTGTTACCTAGTGATTAAAGATACACAAACTGATAGCTTCCTGCCAGTTCTTATTTTTTTTTTTCTGATTATCAACTGGTTATTTTTATTGAAATGTTATGCCAGATAGCTTAGGCCACTGTTGCTGCTATAATGAAATGCCTAAGATTGGAAAATTTATTTGTCAAATTTTGTAAGAGATTAATTAGTGTTCAGGGAGAGTTCAGTTTCTACTTCCAAGTAGATAGCATCTTGAATGCTGCATGCCCATATTCCAGGGGAGGCAAAGACAAAAAAGCCTACCTGGCCCCCTCCTACCCTTATATAACTGTGTATTAAGGTAGATGGAGAAATTAATTGTGACAAATTCTCCTTAGTTATCTGCTTCAGGTAAGATGGAAAAGTAATGTTTGGATGCAGTCATGTAAAGGTCTCACGTGTTCATGAAAATTTAGGTTCAATGGAGAAGTACATAGAAATACAAATGGAACATGCTGTTGAGTGAACAGGGTATGAGACAGTGAGGGCAGTTAGTAGAAGTAGCTCTTTTAAATACTATAGGATTAATCTCATGAGTATAAAATTAAACTGAAAATACATCTTTGCAAAAATTAAGAATGAGGGGGTTAGTGCTGTGGCGCAACGGGTTGAAGCCCTGGCTTGAGGTGCCTGCATCCCATATGGGTGCCGCTTCTAGTCCCAGCTGCTCCTCTTCCAATCCAGCTCTCTGCTATGGCCTGAGAAATATGGCCCAAGTCCTTGGGCCCCTGCACCCACGTGAGAGACCCAGAAGACGCTCCTGGCTCCTGGCTTCGGATCAGTGCAGCTCCAGCTGTTGTGGCCATCTGGGGAGTGAACCAACAGATGGAGGACCTCTCTCTCTGTCTCTATATCTCTCCATAACTCTACCTCTCAAATAACTAAAATAAATCTTTTAAAAAATTAAGAATGAGAATATGAGAGAAACAAGGAAGAAGAGTGGGTGCATAGGTGGGAGGGAGGGTATGGTAGGAAGAATTTCTATGTTCCTAAATCTGCATATATGAAATGTATGAAATTTGTATACCTTAGATAAAATTTTAAAAAGAAACAAAAAAAGAAAAGATTGTAAAGAGGGGCAAAACATTTCATTAGTGGCTGGATAGGACTGTAAGTCTAGAAAATTACAGAAAAAAGGTGATACTGGATAATGTTTGTAGACAAATGTAGGTATTAATAGAGTTTATGATACTAATTCTTGGGTAGGTTGGAGACACAAATCCAGAAACAAGTCCATAGGAAGCTCCGAAGTGGTGAAAGAATAAGTCTTAGGGAAAAGCAGAGATGCATTCCTCCATGGCAGGAAGGTAAGAAAAATATACGTACAAAGATACAAAACTGGTAAGATTGTTATGATTGTATCTTGCTTAATGTTTTAAAGGATGAGATACAAAGCAAAATCAATAACCAACAGAAAAAAATGTGATGAGGATTTTCATCTAATGGCACTTAGCAGCTTAAGTACAGAACTCAATGAACAAACCGGTTTAACTAAGTTTGTGCTCAGTCAGATCAATGAAATGGGGAGAAACTGGGACCATAGGACTGAGGGTTATTGACAATGAATCTTCATATGATGGGATATGAAAGCTGACTGAACAAAGAGTGAAAGTGGATGCAAAAGTGGTGATGGATAATGAATAAGGACCAATTCCTTTAGATTAAGAAAAGATTAAAGGGCATACAGTATAGTTCATGAACTAAAATAATACAAAGATGAAGGAAGAGTCAGGATGAGATAACTCCTGTTTCTAATAATTTTTTTTTCAGAAAAAATTAGTAATCTCACAGCATCCCAAACACTTATGTTCTCTCTCATTGTTTGCAGTGTATGGATGAAAAGAAATGGGGTATAGATATTTACCTGATTGTAAATAATTACTTAGATCTCTCTAAACATCTCGCCAAAGAGGTTGCTTTCCCATTTTTCCAACATTGAAGTGCCCTGTACCACTAAAATAAGTAACAAATAGACAGCTTAATTTGACAAATGTTTATTGAAAACTACGAAATCTTGGGAGGAGTGG